CATTGAGGATTTCGCGGTGTATGCCGCGGTGTTGTATGAGTTAAGAGAATCGGATTTCTTCGAGATCGGCCGATCTCAGCTTGCAGCAGGAGACGAATGCTCCAACGAGGGTCGATGGACGGAAGCGAGGGTCAAGGTTGCTTTCACTATGCTAAGCCAAGCTTAAGATAGCTACAGCTCCCATGCTCAAGCATTTCGACCCAGATCGGTCCCCGTAATCGTGGTCTACGCTAGCAAGTGGGCTGTCTCAGCGGCCCTGATACAGGAGTACGATGGTCGTGTACGCTAGCAAGTGGGCTGTCTCAGCGGCCCTGATACTAGGAGCACTTACGATGGCGTGTACCTTAATCCGGTGACGTTTACTAGCCGCACTTTAAAGCCTAATGAGCTTAACTCCGGAATGGTAGAAAAGTAATCGCTGGCGCGCTACTTCGTGTAAAGTTTAGACAAAGAGGACGTATGCTATACGCCCTTGCCTCGCGGGAGATCACTGTACTGACCCGACATTCTACGTTAGCCTGGTTGATGCAGTCTCGATAGCTCAACGGGAGATTAGGACGGTGGGCCGCTTTGTTGTCAAATTGGACTATGGAGGTGAAGAAATTTGAAAGAGGAGAGGAAGAAATCCTGGGCATGTTAGAGCAAGTATCACTCCGAGAGGAGAGGTGGAAGAGATGCTGATGCGATCTCCCCACGAAAAGACTGTCGACTCAAAATATCGATGCCTCCTCCAACGGTGGAAACAGATGAGGAGTTGCTGGTAGCCAGTTTCGATGGATCGGCTAGATAAAAGAAAGGGGAGGGTCGTTCAGTGCCGTGATATGGAAGTTACCCGAATGGACGATCGTGGCGGCCGAATCGAGATATGTTCACGATCTGACTGTGAATGAAGCTGAGTATAATGGCTTGCTACTGGGCTTCCGAGTTACTCGCCGGTCTGGATAGGGGGGCGATTAATACTGTGTGGAGATTCCAGTCTGGTGATCTCGACAGATGCGCGGGTGAGATCGACTGCAAGGCACCGGGCCTTCAGCTTCTGAGACACAAAGCGTTGGAGAAGCTGCAGTCAGGGCCTAGTCACGAGTTTCTGCATATGAAGCGAGAGTGGAATCAGAGCGCAGATCGACTAGCCAGCACAGCATTGCAGAGCGAAAAGGAAAGAACGGTTGTAGCTGAAGAGGATCGGCAAGATCTGATGACTCTGAACCGTCTCGATGAATGTTGAAGCCCAAGCAAGATGGTCAGCTGGCTCGGGTAACTGCGATCACGAGATCAGCCAGGAGGATACGTCATGAACCTGAAGTGATACAGGAGGAGATAGTACAGAGGATCAGGATTCAACGAATTGTCCAAGCTCAAGATGAAGAGCGTTGGATTGTCAATCTCAAAACATATCTAAGTGGCGATGTATCAAACTTGGATGCGGTAAAAGTGAAGACGTGCGCCAAACTGGCGCCGGATTACGAGATCGATGAGAACAATCTGCTAATTTTTGCCCCATGGCGAAAAGAGAGTCGGAAGATCGCGATGGTTTGATGCGGTTGGTGATCCCTGAGACGTTGCAGCAGGATTTTTTGCATCATTATCACACGAGTCTGGAAGGAGGCCATCAGGGTATTGGCTGAACCTATCAGAGGATCAGATCGCGATTTCATTGGAGGGGACTGTATCGGAGCGTTCAACGATATGTGGGCGAATGTACCGACTGTGAGACCGGGAAAGGAAACCCGATGATTAATGGGAAATCTCCGGGCAATCTACACGCAACCTATCCATTCCAGATCATCGCCATGGATCATATACCGTCGTTGCCCAAGTCCATCAAGGGGAACACCGAACTGCTCATTTGGGTCGACCTTTTCTCGGGATATGTGACTGCAAAGGCTAGCTCCTCTCGGACGGCACAAACAATAGCGGGAGAATTACGAAGAATGTGTGTTTCGACGCTTCGGAGCTAGCGAGTCTATCAGGCACGATCGAGAACCGGGGATTTATGTCCGACTTCTTTCGAGCCTTCAGTCGGATCGTAGGACAAAAACAGCGTGCTACTATGGCTTACAGGCCACAAGCAAATGGAACAGCCGAACGAATGGTGCAAACCCTGACACATTCGCTCAAGATGTACGTGGCTGAAGTTGACCAGCGAGACTGGGATGAGTATGCTGAGCGGCTCACCTTTGCCATTAACACTGCACAAGATCGGATCCGGGGATACCCCATTTTATCTGATTCATGGGTGGGACCCGCGATCGACTTTGGAGGCTACGCTACCAGTGGGGAATACGGGGACACGAGATCGCGATCCAAAGAGGTGGAGATACAAAATCCAAAGACAATACCTGCGAGCCCGATCTGCAGTGAACGATCGTTTACAAGCCGCGATCCAGGAGCGAGCGGATCGACACAACGAAGATCTGGAACCACACGAGATCGAAGTAGGAGCGCAAGTTTGGCTATACCTGGACCGAGTTAAAGAGAGATATGCGAAGAAGCTAGCGCACATGTGGCATGGGCCATTCCGAGTTGCGGACGTATGTGGAGATCATGCTGTAAAATTGGAGATCGCTGGAACTCCATATCGGTTATTTCCGATTGTACACATATCGAAGCTAAAAGGTAAAGACGTTCCCTGAACGCCCGAAGGATCAGCTTACGATAGAGGAATCAGATCGCTTGGATTTCGATGAAGCTCTGCTGCCGGAAGACAGTTGGGATGGCGATCTTGAAGAAGGGGAATACGAAGTGGAGGTAATATTGGACGTGCGATCTGGTAGAAAAACCCGTTATGGGCGAGTACACCGGCAGTTTCTGGTGAAGTGGAAGGGATATCCCGATCTAAGTTGGGTGGACGAGGCCGATCTACGTTGTGGGGCGATCTTGCAAGAGTTTGAGCGGAACCGAGTGAGTCGAAACCGTTTCGACGTAATGCAGTCTCATGAAGGCAAGTCGGACGAACCTTAACAGTTCGAACAAGTATGCGGGAGGTAGCATATGCGGATGTAGGGGTTGAAAGATGTGCTAGACGGTAGCACATGATGGTGGATGAGGTTTTTGTATGTGAGTATGGAGATAGTCAAGTGAATTACCTTCCTGAATGATGTGGAGCGAGGAGGATCGAGATCGTGGAAGTTGCAAAGAATGGAAGTACCAAAAAAAGAAGATGATTGAATGACTTACACGATTATGAAAGACGATCGGGCTTGGATATCGATCTTGGACTAAGACGATGGAGCAGGTTTGAACTTGTCCTGCAGACGAGGGATCTGCGATCCGGGATGATCCCAATAGGCGTTACGGAACTGGTTGCGCCAAGGATCCTCTTGGTCTGCCATGTCCAACGCCTCTAGCAAGTCAGCTGGGTCGTTAGAGTGTCCTAACCCTGGATACCAAACTCGGTCTTCATGTGGGCGCGGATAGTGGAGGAAGAAGGGATCTAGCAAGATGTCGAGATCACAGTGGCCAGCGATCATGCCGCTGAGTATCATCTTCAAGAAGTTCTTCCAACGCGCTCCAAAGCGAGAACGGCGTTGTTTTTGTTGGCGCCAGAATGTCTGCATGAACCGTTCAGATCGCCTTTGAGCCGGAGGAATCGGGAAAGCATGAGTGGATTCCCACAGAGCTTGTCGATGAGTAGACTCAAGCTCCAGGTATCGATGACCCATATCACGATACCATCCAGTCATGGTGAATGATATCGGGTTCACTGGGACTATGATATTATCCCAAGGGGCTAAAGCATAAAGAGCCTCGATGTGCTGCCGCGAGATCAGCCCAGAAGCCCAAGTCCCCGTAGGCGGAGCTCGTCCATGATTGTAGAAGGGAAACAGAAAATTCCTGGGTTTGGAGCAGTGGTGAAACAACAGCTCAATGGTCATGGTCCTCACGCAAACCATCGCGATCCGCGAAACGGACCATAGAGCGATCTCGGAAGCTACCCGTCGGGAGGGCGCCAGATAGTTGGGAATCCACCGATCCCGTGGTTGCTGGAGTGGCGGAAGATTGTCGAAGTCCACGGAAGAGAAAACACTGTTAGCCACTTGGCGTGCCGGAAGGGTAATGCTGTTTTCGCTATCGGACGAATGGCGATCCGAAAGCGCAGTAGACTCCGGAGGCGGACCAACAGAGCCAGTCTCGCTGTGTGTCTCCCCTGTTGGCGATACCTCCACGTCTTCTACGCCGCCATCATCTTGAATTTCGACTACGGGGACAGCCGCGACCGGAGTGGATGGGTACGAAAGATAACGAGGCTCCGGAACGTCTGGAGAAGGCGAACGCAACAGTGCTTGAGCCAACGCAGTAGCTGCTGGAGAAGCGGGAACAACCCGAGTGGCCGGAGAGGGGTTCGGGGTCGAAGATCGGGCATCCGATCTAGGTTGACGACGAGAGGCCGATCTCGATTGGGATAATGCAGCACGAGTCAAATCATCCGAGCTAGAATCCGACTCGGTCAGCTCCTCACTTCCCGATCCAGTCCCAGAAGCAGCGGACGAAAGCAGAGAACAAGAAGAATTGGGTGGAGGCTCGGGTGGGGCCAATCCGGGAAGTTTGTTTAAGGGTATTGAAGGGTTCAACGACAATATCCGGGAAGCCACACGGGCGGTGGAAGAATCACTGGATTGTGACTTTGGTTGAATACGCAGACGCTTGGCAGGCGGGCCGGACGATCCCGATCTGGACCTACGGGCAAGCGATCTCGATCCCGGGGTAGTGGGAGCAGGGGCCGATCCGACCGGAGTAGCACTCTTAGGCGTCGATCGAGCGATCAACGCAGACGACCGGGATCCGAGTATAGCACTGTTCAGTGTGTCGAGGAGAGCTCGGTGTTCAGCTATAGCCTGATCCCGATCATGCTCCACCACCTGCAACTGGTCGTATATCTCGAGGTGTTCCGCAAGATGACGACGTAGGTTGGCGTTCTCCGCCTGCAAAAGTGCCAACTGACCCTCTAGGGAAGTCAAACCATCCACTTGTTGCATGAGATCGCTGATCGAAGACAGTCCATCTGCGATCTCCTCCTGAGACTGAGCCAATTGCTCCTTCAAGTGCAAAATATCTATGTGAAGGAAGGATTTATCCATGGTCAGCTGATCACGCTGCTGTCGGAGAGAGTTGAGTTCGGCTTGGAGCGAATAAAGCTGAGCCCTCAAAGCATCCACCTGTCGTTCCAAGTTCCCCTGAGCCTCGTCGTTGGCACATATCAAAGTGCGTAGCCGACGAATCTCCTCCGATGATCTCGATATGTCCGCAGAGCTCGATGGCAATCACTCAAAGAATGCACTGCGTCGACGTAGCGGCCCTGCATCCAGTCATATCGAAGCTGGACGAAGGAGACAAAAGGAGCGGCTGATCTGTATAGCGAATCAAGCTCGTCTTGTAAGCGATCCCCCCGGACGACGGCATCTCGGTAGGATTGCTGGAGTGCATGAATGGTGTCGGCTTGGCTGCAGAAGGTAGCCTCTCGATCCCACAAATACGAGATCGTGGCCATCGTGAGACGAACGTCGTCGGCAGAGACTCTGGGAACGAAGTCGGTGACGCCCACAGCTGGAGCAGACCTTTCACGAGATTCATTAGCGGCCGGGATGTCGGATCTGGACGCATCTGGGGCCGCCGGAGGAGTGGGAAGCGGTAATGGCTCGGAGGAACGATCTGATAATTCCGCGGCGGTCGAGAGTGATCCGACCGATCTGGGATTACTGAGAGACTCATGTTGATCTGGGACGATAGGAGCATACCACCCGCGATCTGGCGATCTAGATGGCGAGTCTCGGGATGGAGACGAGGGTCTGGTCGGCTGTCGATCTGGCGATCCTGTGGGGATTGTGGGCGATCCGGTTGGGCCTAGATGGCGCGGAGACCCAGGCCGATCGGGGACCGCTGGGGTGTGTCCTCCGAGATCGGGCGATCCGGGCGACAGGTCGCGATCCGGAGACAGAAACATGGTGGGTCCTTCTGATGATATCAGCGAGGTGGGTAAATGCGTCGGAGAGGCCATGAGACGGACTTGAGTGCTTGGAACGAAGTTGATGAGTGACTGTACTGAGGTCAATTGCTGTACAAAAGACTTCAGTACAGGGGGCGGTTGTGGCAAAGTCACTACTCAAATTTTGTACGAGGATCGGTGGCCACACCTTTAAAGCGCCGCTTACTGGTGGAAAAGGAGGCCATGAGACTCGGCGATCCAATACGGAGGTGGAAGATGATCTTAACGGGATCGGCGAACCGGTCCAACTGTCGTTAGACTAATGGGTGTGAATCGACCTGGGACGGAGCGATCTGGAACGATTTACATGGAACAATCTGGGACAAGGATCTGGGACCGGGTGATGGGATATGACTCTGCGACGAAGGTGTAACACCTTGCAGAATGTTATGGGGCGATTTGGAACCAGACGTCGAGATGAAGTCATACAGCTCATTGGAATGCCGTTCAAGAAGAAATATACGTACATTGAAGCAGGCTAAGATCAGATCGCAGATCGGCATGTTGTGGCAACGGTTTGTTGGAGAATTGACACATCTGGGACAAGGTGACTCCCCAAAGTGCATCTGGGACCAGGTGGTACAGGTCGGTGAATCGGCAAAGAAGGTGCAATACCATACGGATCGGTGATACTCTTTACCGATCCTAAATTGGGAGTACTGATTTTGGTTAATTATACGCCGATCTGGAAGTTTTGCATACTCAGGGAGTCAAGGAAACCGATGTCGAGACGTATGAATGAAGTGGTCGATTGGATAACACTGTTGGATGATATTGAAGCACGTATGAGGAGATGAAAAAGTGTTAATTGCCGATTTAGACCGGATCGACCTCCAACATCTCGATATTGGATGACAGATCGGTCATGTTCCACACTGATCATGAATATATGGTTGATGAAGACACTGGATCATGTGGAATATACTTGGTAGAGGTTACTAAGTGATGTCAAGAAGTTTCATGCCGAAAGAGCCAGTGGAAGCTGTCCGAATTGACGTCGCAAAATGGATTTAGACGCATTCGGCATTTGGGCACTATTTTGGGCTTTTGGGTGCCAAAAATGGGTATTTGGTACCCCATTTGGGATTTGGTCCTCTTTTGGCGTTCAGGTACGGTATCGGGAATATTGGCGCTATCATTGGAGTACAGGGCACGAAATTTCGACACGTGGCAAGGGGGCGATCCAGATTCAAGGCGATATCGGTTTGAAGAGTGACCTACAGTTAAAAATAGGCTTAAGGGTAGGTTGGATAGTAATTTGGTTGGTTAATAAACAGACTTGAACTCTACTTCTTCTAATCACGACGCACGTTATCCTCCCCTCTTCTCCAGGCAAGATTGATTTGGCTTCCCCGGCGGGTTAAGGCACGTGTGTTACAGGGACACAGAAGACCGATCTTGGATTGTTGGCCAAGATCGAGAAGAGCGATCCCGGGATATCTGGCCCGGATCGATCAAGTACTCACACTCAACTCAACTGCTAGGGTAGCAGCACACAACGGAAAAGGAAAAGGATTTTGGACACAGGATCGCGAGACGGCTCAAGTGGTCAGAAGATCTGGACAAGGCGTTCAAGACAAGACCGAGCAGGATCGAAGCGATCCCCCGGACAGATCGGCACGTTTCATTTTGGCGAAACAAGACACCGATCTACCCAAATTGCGCACTTCCGGCAAGATCGGCCAATCCCAAGACCAGATCGGACCGATCCCAAGGCAAGATCGACGCAGGACTTTTATTTGCTGAGTGAAGATTTCCGCACAGCAAAGACCCCGATCTCGAAGACAAATCAAGATCGGTGCGATCCAAGATCGGGATCGCAGAACCCCCGTTCGTGGTGTGAAGATTTCCGCACCAGAAGCGAACCCTCAACCCAACCTCTCAGCGAGATTGACATCTCCCAAGGCCGTTACGAAGAGCTCAAGCCAGCCCAACCGACGGGTACACAAGGTGAGCACAAGATTATACAACAAGGCACGGATCGGAGTACCCCCTCCGTGAGTCGGCAAGTCTGGGCAAGTGGAAGATCGACACTCATACAAGCAATTTTGTGAGATTGACTTCACCACATTTCCCCTCCGCACCTCATGCGCAGGATAGCGACCGCTCCATAGAATCTGCTGACGAGGCCATACTCATCGCGCTGTCAAGGTCACGTTCTTCCGTTCGACGGCGGTCTCCTGCCTCGACCACAAGATCTGCTGATGGGTTGGCTGACACACCGATCGAGATCGATCCAGCCAGTCACACACCCCGCGACTCGTCCGGCTACGTCAAGACGTGATACTTTAACCTCATCGCCATTCTCCCGGTCGCCGCCCATCGCTACGACACCTTCAACCGCAGAGCTACCCAGGGCGTCCGAAGAGTCCGATGGGTCGGTGATGTACCAAGCTACGATCATGCCCCAATGAACAAGCTCTTATCCCTGACCGCCCTCAAGGCTTTACCCCCCGCCGTACGGTCCTCGCGCGATTAGTGGATAACTGGATATCGCACTCGTGCAATTTATGCGCCTGTCCATTTTTCGCCGTGGTCATCCCATCGCTTGGGCTTAGAGACTGCAGGTCACCTGGACTTGGATCTCTTGTTCCACCACTACTCTCGGCCCAAGCACTACCTGTTCCCCGTTCCGGACGGTTCCCTGCGTCCGCTAAATGAAGCTCAGTGGTCCCCGCGGCTAGTGACCTCCGCCCGTATTGCTGCTTTATACAGCCAAAAACCTTGGGACGTCTTGGATCGAACTACTGCGTCTGTGTCATCCCGTCCGACTGGCTGGTTCCAAGCTTCGATGACCGCGTATCGTGAGTTCGAAGCCCATCATCGCCAGGCGTTATGGGAGTCTACTCATGTGCTACCAATCATCGTGGGTCCAAGTCGCGCGAAAGACCCTGGATTGAGCGTCTTCGATGTAGAAAGGCGTCGTCGACGTACCCGGTTTGGCCCCCGGTGGAAGGCTATACTCCGGATCGTGTTGGAGGGGTTGGTCGGGGGTCATTGTGACCTCGAAATCCTGTTGGAACCCTTCTTCCCTGTACTTTCCAGGACGGTTTGAGAAAGGTTTGGGGGGTGTCCAGGGTTTGGCCATCGAAAAGACCAGCATCCCGAATCTGGCTTCAGCCTTACTCCTTGCGGATTCCGATGACCCCTGGCGCAATCAGTATCGGTCAGACACTGCTGACCACTTAGGGTCGTTCATCGAATGTCTCCGGACAAAGTTTGAAGCGCAGTGAAAGGTCGTCTCCAGCATGACAGACCATGACGTTTATCTTCACAGTCGTGACCATTAGTCGCTGCTTATTAAATTCACTTCTATTGAAGTCTGTTCACCACGTTTTCTTGCTTCTGTGTACACCGCTTTAGTTGCCCACGCAACATCTTTACATCCATAGCTCACGTAGTCATTCCTCCTCCTTTCACAGACCAGGCGGTCACTGCGTTTCGTGGCCGCGGTCACCGCTTTTGGTCATCTTAACTGTATGATCACCATGTTAGTTGATCACTTCACTCCTTCACATTCATGGTTCACGTGGTCATCCCTCGTTCTCTCATAAATCATACATTCCCCATGCTTCAAGGCCGGGCTTAACCGTCCATGGTGACCTTAACATCTAAATTCTTTTTCATGCACTTGCATCACTTTGAAACGGGTTCGCCTAGCTTGGTCACGTTCAAACTTTTCCAATTTAGCATTACAATTGAGGTTTGCCTCATCCACCCAAGTCTCATCCTTATCACCCTTCCATCAGACCAGGAACTGTCAGTGTTCCCCTCCGTACCGAGTCTTTCGTCCTGTTCTCACATCTCGAATAATATCCACCTCGTATTCTCCTTCGGCTAGATCGTTTTCCCAGCTGTCCTCTGGAAGCAGAGCTTTGTCAAAATCAACACGCTCTGTTTCCTTCACCTCCAGCCGCGCAGCAGGTCGACCAGGGAAAATCTGTGCTAGCTTCAGCTTGGATACGTGAACGAGTGGGAATAACCGGTATGGGGCCCCTTGTACCTCCAACCGCACTGCATGTTCCCCGCACTTCTCGATCACACGAAACGGGCCGTGCCACATGTGAGCCAGCTTCCTGGCATATCCCTCCTTCACTCGATCCAAATATAGCCACACTTGGCTACCGCGGCTGATTCCATTTGGCCCTTGATCAACGTTGCGTTGGTCAGCTCGGTCTTGAATGGCTTCCTTCAGTAGATCATTCGCCGTAGCACGGTCTCGTTGATACTGCCGCTGTATGTGATAGTGCCATCTCCGGAAATCCCGATCACGTATTTTAGTACATCCCAACGGCAGGGTCGCTTCCAGCGTTGATCGCGGATCCCAACCATGGATGAGATAGAACGGGGTATCGCCCCGTACTCGGTCATGGGCGTACTGATGGCGAAGGTCAGGCGTTCAGCGTATTCGTCCCAATCATGTTGGTTCACATCCGTGAAATACATTTTTAGCGCCCTGGTCAATGTTTAGACCATAAGTTCAGCTATACCATTGGCTTGAGGCCGATACGTCATTGTGGCACGTTGTTTCGGACCAGCGATGCGGTTGAACGCGCGAAAAAAACTCCGACATGAATCCGGGTTCGCGGTCGTGACGAATAGATTTACTTGCCCCAAACCGCCGGAAGACGGATTCTTCATACTCTACCGCGATCGTCTGGGCCGTTTTTGACGAGCTAGCTTTAGCTATCACGTAGACAGAAAACAAATCCACCCAAAGCAACAGTTAAGTATTCCCTTTGAAGGACCTGGGTAACTAGGGGGATATGATCCATTGCAGTGATCTGGAACGGGTACTTGGCCTGTAAATTTCACGGGGATTCGCCTTGTAGTATCGGACATCCTTTTCCGGTTTCGCAGTCGACGCACTTCCCCACGTACTGCTGCACGCTTCCAAACAAGCCTCTCCAACGAAAGTGCGATCACACGCGGTGATACTTTCGGCCTACCCCTTGGTGACCACCTTCCAGACTTGCATGGTAGTGGTGTAGGACATCATCTTGCAGTTATTTCGGAACCACCGGAACTACGGCAAGATGATGTACAAACGGACGAGATACGGCGGTCACTGGGGTTTGCTGCCGTTCGAGGGCAAAAAATACATCAATCAATCTTCATCCACCACGTAATCTGAGGCAATAACCGCACTTGCTTTTGCTTCCGTAGTATCGAATTTGCTAACATCTCCGACCAGGTAAAGTTTGAGGCTGGAGATCCAACTTTCTTCGTCTTGTGCTTGCTTTGTGCGCTCCAGTCGCATCTTCTGTGACATTTCCTCTTGCATAATCGTGTGCACTTCACGCCTCCGTTTGGCTGATCGTTTGATCGCCGTTATCTCGGCCACTTGATTGATGGGCGCTGGTCCTAATATCTCGTCCAGTCGGTTCATCTCTTGTAATTCATAGAGATTCTGCTCCATTAGTCTGACTATGCCTCTTACAGCTTTAGAGCGGAGCTATCCAGTCTATCGGCATTTTGATTCAAATCGCTCTTAACATGTAAGAATCAATGAGTCGGTTATGATCGCAGTCGATCTAGGGCCTTTAGACGCAGTAACTGCTGTCCCGGTGCCTTGCAGTCAGTTTCACCCCTCATCTGCCTGATGACCAGGTTGGAATCCCCACAAACGACCACTCGTCCTCTTGTCTGCTTGGCGAACAACTCGCAACCCAGCAGCAATCCATGGTACTCTGTCTCATTCACGGTCAACCCAGTATCGAATCGCGTCGCAGCCGATACTATAGTCCACTCGGAAAACTTCTATATTATTGCGCTGTAGGCGCCCCCTTTATTCTCGATACGGGCTGCTCAATTAAAGCTGACGACAAGAAGCGATTCTTCACGGCTGACCGTAGGGGGAGGCAAACTGATAATCTGTCTCGGTTGCTTCCGGGGCAAAATCGCGATCAGCATATCATCCACATCCTCCCGTGGTGTGATACTTGCGGCAAGAGTGCCAAAAAATTCGTCCTCTCCTTTGTTGCATCGGTTAATCTACAGAACGCAGGTTGACAGTGAAGCTGTCCATCTTACAAGTCTCTCGTTAAGGTCCGATAGTTGCATAAAACACGCGAGAGTTGAATACCGTGTGAGCACTTAAAGGTCCCGCGATACTAGTAGTGTATAAAAAACATCTCATATTCGGAGCTGGGCCAGGACTTCTTTCTCCACCACACCGTAGTTGATTTCATTCGATTTTATTGTGCGACTTGTGAACATAACAGGCCTATTCACTCCGTTGTGTTCTTGCAACAAAGATGCGGATACCGCCCATTTGCTGGCATAAATTTACTATTACTGGCCGACGATCAGGGTCAAATTGTCTTAGCACCGGGGTCTGGGAAACTTTGACTTTCAGCATTGTGAACGCGATCATAGCTTTTTCCCTACGATGACCACTTGTATGTTCGCCATTAGACCCCTCTGCATTCGGTTGGTCATGACCATCCATCTTTGTCATTTGTTTATCACAGCTACCCACCTGCCTCTGGCCATGGTCATCGTCGATCTGGGTATCACCATCCTTTTCTTGGATTGTTGCATGATCATCCTCCGAGTTGTCCAACCGCCTAATCTCGTGGGAGTCCGCCTCTCTCAATTCATACAGGACTGAGGCGTATATGGCGAGATCTTTAATGAACCGGCTGTAGTAATTTATGCTTCCTAATAAGGACTGCATGAACCGCAATGTATGGGGAAATGGAATATTGACCAACGACCCCAAATCCGTCGGGTCGGCTTCTATTCTGATATCGACACCTGGTGCCCGAGATACCCAACCTTGCATCGTCCCCACACACTCTTAGGTAAACTGATCGACAAATTCCACTGATCACAGACTTCCAACAGTCTGTTTACCTTTTGATGGAGGAAAGTCCAGGATGACGCCGGGATCAGAATGTCATCAATATAAGACATCCACCCCAACACTGAAGACTTTCGGTGCGGGTCCGGATCGCCGTGCGTGAACACGTCGACCGGTTGTGACACCTCGCGACCACTTGATCTCCGCTGTTCGACGATCGTAAAATACCCGTACAAGGCATTGTAAACCATACGCTGGTATGTATGTGGCGCGTTTTATAACCCGAACGTCATACGTAGCCATTCATACATACTTGAAGGCGTAATAAAAGCAGACACCATTCGTGCTCTATCCGTCATTTCCACAACCCAGAATCCGCTGGCCATATCCAATGAACAGTGCCATAGCGCTTTGTCCAGGTCCTGCAGTAGGTCTTTGATCAAGGGCATGGGACACACCATCAGCTTCGTCAATTGGTTGACGCGTCTGTAATCTATACATACTCGTATATCTACCCCATTCTTTTTTACGATCACTACGATCGGCGATGCCCACGGCGAGGTTGAGGGACATGTAATCTTCGCTGATAGTAACCCTTTGGTCAGATCCGCCAACTTTTTACGGAACTTTGGGGCGATTGGCCTCACTTGTTGTGCTATTGGGGTCGCCCCTATTACATCTATGTCACATATCACGCCTCGAGCCGCAGGTGAGAGGGCGTTTCCCTTGCCCTCAATAGATTTCTTTTCTTCCAGATCAGCTGGCTTAATTTTTCTTGCTCTTTCGTCAATGGATCCCCTGGTTCTTCCACCTGTATATCCTCAATCTTCACCTCGCATAGCTTCGTGTTTACCTCCGGTAAGACTGCCATGTGTTGGCCAACATCTTCCGCGAAACATGTTCCACCTGAGTGTTGGTATGACGTGCACTCCTGTTCTCCTTCGCCGATGGCCGCTGCATCTTGGTCTCCCAGATGGTCGGGCGGTCGATACAACTACCAATCCCCAACAGTAATTTCATCTGGGGAATCAGGGGACTTGTTTTGCATACGATCAGGTACTATATCCTTGATCGATTCGGGAGTGAACTTCTCTTCACACTTGTGTGGGTGTGTTTCGGACTGCTCGTGCACCAACGTCGTATCATGGATTGTCTCAATAGGATTGACCAAGTCGGCGGACGTTGGTGATCGCGTAGACATTTCTATCTGGGGTTCATTCATTCATTCCTGCCGATCATGTACCGAAAAACAACCCGTATCACGTGTGGTGATCGCGTTAATAGCTACTGGTGATCGTTCTGGTCGTGGTCCTTGATCCTCTTGGTCATCCACCTGGTCACATGTCGGCACATCGTTTTCCCATTCCGCTTCCTCTCTCCCCGCGGTCATCTCTACCATATCCTGTGGGGGTCGTTTAAGAATCTGGGTTGGTGTTGGGTAAGACTAGCGTTGGACCAACGGTCCTTTTCTGCTTCCGTTACTTCTTCTTCTTCGTCTCTATCTGTAGAAGCATCGTATGCAGGTGTTTGCCACTCCAGATATCGACGTGACCCTACCGACACACACCCGTGTGACTGTGGTATCATGTCCGCCGGCATCCCTTACCCGAACGGCGTCCTCTGTTGGATAATCACCTTTTGATCGTTTAGGTTAGTTAGGCGGAGGCACGTAAGTCTTGCGGGTCCGGTCATAGCCGTGGGTACCCAAGGTGCGTGGCTGGTTAAACTACAATTTCGACTGCAGTGGTCCCCGACCAACATTGACATCTACTGAGTCACCCACCGGTATCGCCAAATACCTCTCATCCGCAGCAATTCGTTGTATCTCCACCCCATACGGTGATCTCCTACCTTTTAGTTGAGTTCTATCTTCGTCCGGCAAGCACACTGTTCCGTCTGATATTTCAAGGCGTATTCTAGTCGGCGCCATGAAATCCATTCCAAGAATTGCTTCATGTCCCACTTGGTCACCCACCCGTACATTAAAGTAGTAAATCAACGAGCCATTTAGCTTGATCTTCACCTTTGTGCGGCCTTCTGCCATGCACAATTTTCTCCGATACCCACGCACTCTTGCTTCAGACTCTCATATATGACACAGCCAACCTTACGAGCAAAGGTGGTGTCGATGATTGAGACTTCAGCTCCCGAGTCAAACAATAGGGTGGCCTTCTCATTGTTAATTTTTCCTCCCCCCTTGGCTTGCCTGAACCACTTGTTTGGAGTAAGGTATTTCCAGTAACCACGTGATTCGCCCAGGAGACAACTAGAGTTCCATCTTTGTAGGTGATCGTGCGTATTCATCCGGTCGCCGCAAACTTGCAATTGATGGAAAAGAACTAGAGCTCAAATCACATGTATTGAAAATCCGGCCGGTCAGGCGACTAACACTGTTATCAACCCCTCTTTGTTCAATGAATGCATATATGCATAGCCTTGAACGCCCGGCTCGCACCAGGTGTCAACCTGGCGAGCGTCCTAGTTTAACATCTTCTCAGCGACTGAAGGAAGCTTTCCGGCGTGTTTGGTCGGGACGTACCACTTGCAAAGCATAATGTAAAACTTTTAAATTGGGCAGTTGTCCCCGTCGTGCACTTCTCCACACACTGCGTATCCGTAAAAACACTTTTAGGAGGGGTGACCTCGGCTACCGCATATCTGAAAAGTCAGGGGTTTCCAGCATCCCCTGTCATCATGTCTTTTGGACCTACAATGAGTGCACGACTTGTGCCCTTCTGCACGCTCGTGATCACGTTCACTGTCATTCGATCTTGGCTTGGTTGGACGATCATTTCCCCGGTCCTTCATATGGTCGGCTGCAGTGGCACTGTAAACACGTCGTTGTTCTTCGTCTGATTCCGCACTGCTTATATCTGATTCCGACGAACTGCTCTCGCCCCCCACGTGGATTGCACGCACAGCTCGAGCCGGTTCGGATGGACTTGGAGAGTATGGCGACGCTGATCGTGAGCGGAACTTGCCTAAACTGATCGGGGGATTGCCTTTGCGCTTTTGCATACGTTCATATGTGTGCAGCGTTATCTCCAGTGTGTCCACGTCATCCGAACGCAGCAAGGTCAATCGCTTCGCGAGATCGTGGTCCTCCAGTGTCTAGATATAGTGTTCCACGTGTTCTCGGCGGTCAGCGACGTTCCCGTCCTTCACGTGGATTTTCGCTCGCATCCCAGCAACGTTTAACCGATAGAGGTATTCTAGCGAAGTTTCATCGGCACGCTTGCAGGCGTGTGTAATACCGGCGACCAGCAGAGATGCCGCGTCCAGAGTATAGTAGTAGAAAACTATCCAGCAAGTCTTTCCACTTATTGCGTGTCGATCGGCTAAGCTGGGAGTACCAGTTTCGTGCTGGGCCTGTTAGCAAATCTCCAAAAATTAAAGCTTTCTCCGAACTGGGGGATTGGTTACGCGAGAAAGCTGATTTGACCTTTCGCACTTAGCTCCGAGCGCGGTCATCATCGTGATCGCGGCCTGAGAACTATTTTAGATCGGCGATCGCAGACATGCGAATCCGCTGCGCAGCAAATACTTCTCCCATGATGGCTTCCGTAGTAGCCAAGTGAGGTCGATGGACGCCGTCAATGTCGAGGTCATCAGGGTCAAAGGCGTTACCGTGACTACCATGCGAGTCAGCCGATTCCATGTACGTGTCTGGCATACTACCCCGAGCACCTTGTGGTTGGGATTGGGGCGACTGGTCGGCTCAGAGCGTGGCGGCCGTCGCTGTTATTTTCGCATGAACTTTTCCATGGCCTTTGCAAAGTAGAGTTGCATGTGGTCGAGGTCGTAAGTAGCATCGACTGGCTCTGTAGTTAGTCTCAACGGTCCGGTGATTGGAGTCGGATGCTCGTGGTGGTCACATAAAAGTGCTGCACCGGAAGGTCCTAACGACATTCGCTTTATTTTCAAGCTGTCGCTATCGTCCGCAATCGACTCCGCCGAAGCGAAATGTGACGACGCCGCTGGTGAACCGTCTTCCTCTTTGACTATGATACAGGTCGTGAGCTCGCGGTCAGCGGAGTCATACTTGCCGGTCAGTAGGGCCAGCGCTTTAAACAGTGATCGGCTGGCCGTGATCACTAGATCCAGGTCGCAGTCAAGCAGAACCTGCGCGTCAAGCACCCCCGGCACAAATTCTGCGCCTTGCAGCAGTTTAATGATACGTTGCACTGCTTCCATTGTGCTAGTGGCTGCTTGTGGAGTCGATGTCGGTCCCCCATGCGGTCCGATCAGCTCCGGTTCCAAGATGGTCAGCACTGGGTCCGTCGATAGTTTGAAGCTAAGTCCAGTGCAAACGATGTTTCAGCTGATCGGTCTTACAACCTTCCATCTTGACCCTTTCTGCCCTGCTTATTTCTTGACCATCACCCTCGGAGTCAGGCGCGCGTAGCTTGGGAGCCGTAGCCTTCGATTTATTCTTTTTCTTTGTGTACGGTTTTGTGCTAGACGAAACGTGTCCTGATTTGGCTGGACGTATTTCATTTAGCGGGTCGTACTTTGCAGTACGATCCGCAGTGGTCCCCGATACGACCTCAGGAGGGAAAAGTGGTTTTTCTACTTCGAGATCATTTTGGCGATCTTCCTCTTTGAAATTTTGTTCGTTCGAGCCCCTCTTAAAATTCTGCCAAACCGAGGGTCCTTTAAAATCACGTGTTGGAGGCGATCCCTTCTTCGCCGAGACTTCCATCCTCGGTTCAATCTTGACCTTGACATCTTCGCTCTGGGATTCACGATGAAATCCCGAGGCAACAAAAGATCCGGGCACGCGCACCGTTGTGGTGGAGTGATATTCGCTCATTTGCATAGCGATCCTGACTCCCCACTTGCGCCCGGACGACCGACTAGCGGAGGGGGTACTCCGGACCGTGTGTCTTGTCTTGTCTTGTTCCTTCTCACCTTGTGTACCCGTCGGCGGGCGGTTGCACTCTTCTAGGTGTCTTGAGACCGATATCTTGTCTTGACCGAGTTAAGGATAGGTGGGGTGTGGTCGCGTGGTAATTTTTCACACGACCAACGGTTACTAGTGGCACTCTTCTAGAGTTGCCTGACCTTCCTTGAGGTCGCCTTGCCCAAATGTGGATACTTAATCCCCCTTGTTCTTCTGACCACTTGATCACCTTGTCCTTCTGATCACTTGAGCCGTCTGAAGACCTTGCCTTGTATGCTTGCCGCGTCCGATCACGGTCTAACTTGAATGAGTACACTTGTCCCTAGCCAAACAATCTAGGGACAAACCTTGAGTAAACACGCAGACAGTAAACCTTGTACGTCGGGTAGCCACTAGCATTTCAGCCCGGAGGAATGCTGACGCGTGTCTTTTGTAGGAAAATCGATGCTGTTCGTTACTAACCTGTTAATGGCTAGAACTACGCTTACAATTCTCTTTATCTCAGTCTTCTGCTACGTTGTTCGCCTGCCACCACCCATTCCCTGTGCTTGAAGTAAACCACCTCAACTGCCAACATGACGGCTGGTCATCTTGCAGTGACCATGACCACTGGTCACCCATCGTGACCATGACCGCTGGTCACCCATCGTGACCATGACTACTGGCACCCATCATGACCGTGACCACTCATCATGATTATGACCACTGGTCGCCCATAGTGACCGTGACCGGTCAGTCTTTCGCCGTGACCCTAACCGGTGGTCATAATCTGTGACCGCCACTGATGACTTGCAAACCGTCCAGCTTATCGTTGGGAATTTTGTATCGGTCAGTCCCAAGACCGTCATGACCGGTCCCACATGCACTTACGAGGTGATCACGGCGATTGGTCAGGATTTCCTTTGACCACTTCACCACACCTACACTAAAAACAGTTTAAATCGTGCTGCGCGCCACTTCATGTACACCGTACGTGGAGAAGAAGGCTAGCTAGTGACGGCGCGTTCAATAGGAGTAGAAAGTTAACTGTCTCAATATCATTAAGTCCTGATTATTGACCTAAGTCGTAGTTCTTACTTAATTATACTAATCAACAAAAATGTTAGGTAGTGTCTTGCTCACCACTCATTGCGCGCGTCCATCGTTGATTAGTATGCTTGAGCTGACTGAGATAATAGCCCGTATCAGCCAATCGGTGAGTGTTTTTGCATTATACCCCAAATGGCAATATTCACGGATATTGACAACCTTTAAGATAATATTTTGATGAACAAGTATGAAGATTAGTTACGTGTCACGGACTCACCCGTTACGGGCTCGGCTTTATTGGTCGATATCATCAATTTACTTTAATTAGTGAGCAGTGTATGGGGTTAGTGGTTCAGATTGTCGATTTCGATGGTTATGTTAACTATGTGCAATCTCCGGTATGTATTTAGCGATGCCGTAATCGCCGGTCGGTGACTCGGGGGCTGACTATGACTTAAGCCAGTAAATACTGGCATCTCTGTAGGTTCGCGCTCCATCAACTCAATGTATTCAAAAAGCATGGCACCCAAAGTTGCGGTCGCTACTTTTCGATGCTCTCTCTTCGCGATCACACGCAGGCGACAGATGCAGGTGGCCCAATAACTGCGTGCTTCCACAATTAATGAGCAGTGTATTACTTTCTGCACCAGAACTGCTTTTTAAGCTAATATCGTGAGAATCCGATGTCCGTCGTAACATAATCTTAATGCTACAATTTTACCTTATGTAAAGTATCATGTAACGGATGCACCCCGTAGCAAAGTCTCAGTAGAAAATCGATGGTCAAAAGTCTGTTTAAAATTCAGGCTCCGTATGGTAAAAAATACAAGGACTGTTTGCGTTGCCTCCACACAAGAGCGAAAATGTAGTCTGTCAAAGAAGGGTAATTAGACCTGCCCTCCGGCGTCCTTTCGCTTTGACAATACTTTTTGCACATACAGCTGTGCTTCTCCGAAGGAAGTTAACCTGCTACTGGTATGCAGTTGCTCTGCTTTGAAACTGCTTCTTGTGGATTGTTGCTTCATGGACATGACGGAAAACATTGTTTAAAGACAGGACGAATAGAATGCCGATCAGATATGATCAATCTTTCAGCTTCCGCAAATGTCTGATGATTGGTAGCAGTCGTTCTCTGTGCAACGTGCGACCACGACTTTTAAGTCGCACCTTCACATATAGTGTCCCTAGGTTACCATAGCTGCGGATAGTGGCTCCTTGCATTAAGGCTTAGTAATCGTTGTCCACGTAGGTATGGTCATTTACGCAGAAATACCTCTCTTTTCTTGTGAAATTTACCACTGTCTGACTACATGCACGTTTGCCAGCTGAAGTACATTTTTCGGTCGTACCATGATTCGATCACAATTTCTTTCTCGTCCAAGCCATCTTGCTATAAAGGACAAGCACGAATTTCCTCAAGCAGCCTAGTTTTGTCCGATTTACTTTTTTCCTGGAAGTCAGGGTGAAAAAGCTGATACCGCATAGCGCACAATACACAAAGACGATGCAAAACTCGAATCACATCACTGTTTGAGCTCTGTACTATACTTTGCTACAGAAGAAAGAATGCAATGGAGAAAAGTCTGTGGTTGGGTCTGGCTCTACAAACGCTTCCTCTTATCCCATCGCTGGCCTGCTATGAGGCTTGACAGGACTCAAGAAACGTCAATTTGCAATTTGCCGCATCAACCATAAGCCAACTCTGTAACGGGGCACCCTGAAGTTTGTACTGGTGACAGTACAAGCTATTTATTCTGATGACAGAATAAGGCGGTGCCTCGTAACTTCACGTACACTCGTACGTGCAGAGGAAGACGGTAAGAAGAAGCGAGTACTTGGTTAAAGTAAAAAGTAGAACTGTATTTAGTATAGTTAATGTCTGCAATAAATCACTATTTATCTGCATTTAACTATGTCTAAATACAAATGTGTAAATCAGTTATCTGCTCACCACTCATTGCGTGCGTCTGTCGTGGTGCGTCTTCGTTGGTTGATATAATGGCCTATATCAACCAATTAGGAACTACTCGTAAGTGCTACAGAATATTTGTCCTTATGACAATATTCTGAGAATATAACTCTTATAGTTATATTCTATTAACAATTTCTTATAAATTGTTATGTAACGATTCACCCCGTTACATCACCCCCCCCTTAACCATCAGTCCTTTTAATGACTGATTGACTAAATGGATACTCGTCCCAAATCATTTGGGACAGGGTTTGCACTTGTTGGTCCGCGTCCACTTTCCAACATTTCATCGCATGGTTAACAAGCCCATGCGATGCGCGAACAAGGCCGCCGAGAGCGCGTCTGCACGTCTCTGTGCGGACGCCGAAGCAGAAACAACAGCAACTGATGCCCCATCGGTTGCTGAAGCGACCCAGCCTGTGTCACTTGGTGATGCAGGCGCTGGTCATGAAGACACTCGTGTCTTCACAGAGTACGAGCTCGGTGTCTCGTACTCTCCTGATACGAATGACGGATCCGTATCGACGGCGATTGAATCCAAGCCGCCTGCCAAGCGTGGCATGGACGATGCTTTGCGTCGCAGCATCTTTAGTTCATCTGATGAATCAGATGAACCATCGCCGAAGCGAAGGCGCTCGAGGTCGCGAGACTCGGGCGCTAATAGTGGTGTCGGTTCTCCTATGGACACCACTTCACAGCGAGGTGCCAGTACTTCTGTCGGCACGTCGCAGGAAGAGCGGGACCGCAATGTGTTGCGTCTCGCTCCTGAGAAGAAGGCATGGATGCCTCCAAAATCCGTCATGGATCACTTGTCGGCGACGACGAGTGATCGTTATCGAACACGATTGTTCGATTCGTCAAGGATCCATCACCTTGACCCCAGCGCGAAAAACTATCGCGCTGAACATGAATTCTTCATCGATGCTTTCTTTAGACATCGATGGTACAGTGGGAATCACAAACGTGATGGTCCCTCACTACTTCAGGCGTGGAACGCCTACATCCATAATCTCGAGGATGTAGGTCGTGACGCTTGGAACGACAAACTTATCAAAGCTCGTGATAAGTTTGAAAAGCGAACCCCGACAGGTGCACGCTATAAGCTGCATCGTCTGTCAAGGGAGAAAGGATTACCCTGCCTCTCTTGGGGAGACTCGTGCCCATGTTGTGTGAACAACTCTGCACGAGCACCTAAGGAGGCTTACCTCCTTACCAGCCCGTGGTGGCGCGTACGTGTCTCTACTGAGATGTACGAAGGGATTGACAACTTGAAATCCCTTTACGACCGTGCCGGGAAGACTTTCTCCGGCGGTCCTTCTGCGGCACAGGATGTGCCGCGTCGTACTGCTCAACCAAACCCAGTACGTCGATCATCAGTTGGGAGCGGGGCTCCCGAGAATCCCAGGACGGGGGATAGCCGCGCCACCGGACGAGATAACTCGTCCGACGTCCGTTCACGTCGCGGTGGTTCAACAGCTGCTCAACTAGATAGCGCTGGCAACCGCGAGAGTTTTCTAATGGAGGTGGAGGAGGAGGAAAGACGCTCTCCACACGATCATGTGGATCGGTGTGTTGTCGAGAGCTTCTTTGATCGCGTAACGCAAGGGTTACGCGACGATCTCGAACATGAGCGGAATAGGCGTCTCCAAATGGCGGACACTGCCTCGAAGCATCGAGCTGAGTTTGCCTTTGCTCAGCTTGAGAACGAGAGATCTCTGACATCTCTTCGTGACGAGCTAAGGGTAGCTCGTGGGATTGCTGATCGGTCTCGGGATGAGATAGCTGCTCTTCAGACCCTTGTTGATGCCCACCATCGGGAGCACAAGGCTCTCTGCGAGATGCTTGAGCGCAAGGGCGTTCTTCATCGGAAGAAGCAGCGTACTGATGGTACGGCTTAAGCCGACCAACGTAAAACGTGGGATGCGTTCGCATCTTACGTGGTAACTCGATCGTGTATGCATTGCCTAGGCGGTGCAATACACGAAATGGGCCAATGTACTTGGGTAGTAGTTTACTGCTACCCAAGTTAGTCACTACATGCTTTGGTAGATTAACCGTAGACAGTAGGACTAAGTCACCTTTATGAAATAAAAGAGTGTTTGCCCTTCCATTCTTGTCAGCGTTTTGCTTTTGCTTATCCATCGCTTCGGCGATGGAGTCTTGCACAAAACGGACTACCGTTTCACGAGCCAGTATGAACTCATCTGATGACTCGTTAGCTTCAGTGTGCTGTGAGCGCACTGCAGCAACATCAACCTTTTCTTCAGTGAGTGAGGGCTTCCGCACTCTCACTGGCATCATCTTCTTCGATATCGATGTTATCGATATCGGCATCAAACGCAATGACCTCTTCGTCAGAGCGTGATGAGCGTGAACCAATTCGGTTTTTGCTCGCGCGAGTCCCTCCCCCCCCTTAAACCAGAGTTACACTTTAGTAAGGTGGGTACACGCGGATGGCGTAAGCCATTCACGTAAAACGGTGTATGTGTCGTGGACGCATGTACCGAGTTGTTAATGGCAAACGCTACCATTGAGAAAAACTTACTCCAACTCTTAAAGGAGTGTACGTATCCTCGAAGTATCTCTTCAAGGACACGATTGGCACGTTCCGTCTGACCATCTGACTCTGGATGATCAGATGTCGACATCTTCAAGCGCGTTCCGAGTGATTTGAACACGGAACGCCAGAAATCAGCAGTGAATCGTGGATCTCTGTCTGATACGAGTTCCCGGGGCAACCCATGAAGTCGGAAGATGGTGTCAGTAAAGACACAAGCACAGCCACTTGCCGTGATTGTCTCTGGTACAGCCACAAGGTGTACCATTTTGCTGAATCTGTCAACAAATACGAGAATACCCGTATTCCCGCGTGCGTCTTTGGGTAACCCGAAGACAAAATCCATTGAGATGGATTCCCAGCACTCAGCCGGAACCGGTAGAGGCTGTAAGGGTGCACGCAGTGAAGGTCTTGACTTCACTCGTTGGCAGACTTCGCATGCGCGAACATACTTTCGCACAAACTGATACTGGCGGGGCCAGTAAAAGTCTCAACTTACCGTGAGATATGTTTTCTCTCGGCCACGATGTCCTCCTATAGGAGCATCATGATACTCGAACATGATCCGCAAACGCAGATCAGTATCATCTGGAATGACAACACGTGGTGTGTCACCAGAAACGGTTGTATAATACAGTAAACCGTTACGAGTAGTGTATCGATCTGATGCAGATCGATACGCAGGCGACAATCGTTTCAACGATTCTTGGGATGGTTGGGAGAGATGTGTCAACAACTTCACAATCTCACCATCTTGGGCGTATGCCCGCCTCACATCATCATACAACGTTGTAGATGGGACTGAGGACGTCATAACCGCAACAGTGACTGTCTCACTGTTGGGTTTCGCGACTGTTTCAAAGTCGGGACGACGTGAGAGTGCATCAGCGACGACATTAAGTCGTCCTGGTTTGTACTCGACCGTAAAGTTGTATTCTGCAAAGAATGACAACCACCGCGCCATTCGTTGTGAAAGGTGCGGGCTGTTCACTGCCGTGCGTAATGACGCATGGTCAGTGTAAACAACGAAGGGTCTATCTCCTAATAGATAGACTCTGAACTTCGCGAGTGCATGCTTCATGGAAAGGAGTTCCTTGTCATGCACTGGATAGTTCCGCTCAGCTGGTTGCAGCTGACGCGACTGATAGCAGACGACGCGTTCAACGCCTTCAAGATCGTACTGCATTAATGCACAGCCGATTGCGAAATCGCTGGCATCACAGACCACATGAAATGACCTGTCCTGATCGGCTATTGCTAGGACTGGGGATTGTATCAAGCTCTGCTTGATACCCTCAAAGGAGCGTTGACATTCAGCGTTCCATAACCACCTCTCGTTCTTTTTCAACAAACGAGAGAGGTGCACAGTCATTTCGGCGTAATTGCGTGAATACTTGTGCAAATACGCCGCTAGCCCAAGGAATTTTTGAAGACCTTTGACATCGACTGGCACAGGCCAGTCGGTGATCGCCTTGATCTTTTCGGGATCAGGACGTACACCGTTCTTACCAACGATGCACCCAAGAAGTGGTATTTCGCTTGCTGCAAATATACACTTCTTGAGGTTTGCACACAATTGATGCTTTCGCATGATTGTAAGAACCTGTCGGACGTGGTACCTGTGAACCTCAACGTCCGACTTTCCATCCATAGCTCGACTATGGATGAATACGTCATCGAAATAACTCGGCGCGAATTCTCGTACTGGTCTCAACAGATGTGATACACATCTGTTGAACGTGGAAGGGGCATTACTAAGCCCTTGTGGCATTACTAGCCATTCCCAGAGCATGCCGCTAGGCGTGCTAACTGCGGTATAGGGTATATCCCGTTCTCGCATAAGGATTTGATAGAAGCCATCCATCAAATCCATGGACGAAAAGATGGTACTCTTTGACATACCATCAATGATTACGTCCTTCCTCGGTATCGGCGTCTGAGCCGGTGCCGTTGCAGCGTTCAATTTATTGAAGCGTGCACTATCCGCCACCCTCCTGTTGCTTTTCGCACACAGAAGGTCGTAGAGCTATGTGGGGAAGTTGATTCCCTCACATGGCCCGCAGCTAAACGATCGGCAAAGAACTTGTCGATCGCAAGTACTTGTTCACGAGGCAGTGGCCACTGCTTCATGACACAGTACTTCGAGCCTGGTTTAAGCTCGACCTCGTGTCGAATACCTTTATCCTTCGGTAATTCGCACGGAACAGTTTCAGGGAATACATCCTTGAATTCAACCAAATCTTCATAGAGAGGATTTTTCTTGAGCGATTCCCACGATTGGGAGTCATATCGCTCAATTCGTGTCTTTTCATCGAGGACACTTTCGTCCATAGATGAACTACTGAGAACTCTCTCGTTTTCAGTAAACACTGTTGCTGACCTTATGTCGGTTACACACTCGTCGTCAGAGACGAGTACGCAGATCTGCTTGACTTTGCCACTACGCAGATCACGCAAGAACCTTTTATGTTCGAGCGTTGGCAACTGAGTGACCTCCGAAGTCAACTTCGGAGGCGCAATCAGATCAAGTGTATAAGCGCCTACACTTGATCCGTTATTGACTATGACATTCAATGTCTCTGTCATTTCCGGGGGACTTATTCTCTCAGGCTTCGAAGGACTTATTCCTTCGGCTTCCCGGGGACTTATTCCCGCGGGTTTCAGGGAACTTATTTCCGCCGTATTTGTAATCTTGGGACTTATTCCCTTTACTTCCTCTAGCTGGGGTTGCGCAACCACAGCGAGATCCTCTACGAAAGACTCTCCAGTCGATCTAGGATTATCGTTTCGCTTAACCTGAGCGATCGATTGTTTCTCTTCTAGATGTTCCCCGCTAGGGATACATCTTTGTCCCAGTCCACCCGACTTATTCGAGTGGTGGACCTTCGGCGCAGCCTGTGTTTCCCTCACAGCCGCCGGAACTTTTCTCCGAAGTGTAACCGTTTGGTACACTAAGTGTTGTGCAGTCGTACTAACGACCGTACCACAAGTGAGGCCATCGCACTCACTCGTAGTACATCCACACGCTTGTGGACGCTCCAAAACGTTCATCACATGGCCATCTGATGAACAAGCGGCAGGCATCGTTACTGTTCGATGTTGCCAGTTTACCCGTGGTTCGTACCTTCTGAGCCACGGTATCCCAAGGATGACATCAAATTTGTCATCCAAATCCAATACGATAAAGTCATCGTCATATTGGGTATCTTCTAGCGTATAGTGGATCTTCATTATACGCTTCATGACGGTTACGGATGCGCCTGTCGCAAGACGTACCGTCATCCTCGTAGGAGGTGTGTCACATTCACTAAATTTAAAGTGACCATCTTCTAGCGATTGGCGTCGCACAAAATTGTTGGACGCCCCACAATCGACTAGAGCTCGAAGGGACAACTTATTCGTCACTTCGAGTTTCAAGGTAATGAGTGAGATCTCATTACCAAGAGCAGCAACGCACAACGTTTGTGTGTTGGGAGCAACCTTCATCAAGAGGCCTACAAATTCTCTTGACGTTGCTGGACCAGTAGTGTGCTCCGCACCTACTGATCCTGTCAGTTTTTTGACGGTCCATCCCGTTGTTGCGTCTTTGCACCAACAGCGGACCCGCGTCCCTGCCCCTTTCTCATGGGTGGACGGTCACTACGCCCAGTGTCGCGAGACACTGGACGAGGGGCACTACACTCGTAAGCGTAGTGTCCTGTCTTTTGACATATGTTGCATTTCTGCAACCTCTTGTAGCCTGTAGAGAGAGCCTTCTCGCTCTCTACATAACAGAGTTCCATCGGCTCTGGACCTCCGTTGTCATATCGTCTCGGTTGACGATATGATGTCGAGCTGGCGCGAGCCTGTCTCAGACTGAAGTCTTCCTGCTCCGCAATGGAAATGGCTTGTTCTAGTGAATCTAGTTCAAGCCGGAACAGGTGAGTCTTGACGGGACCATCCGCAAGACCCTGCATGAACACCGAAACTAACGTGTGTTCATCCACCGGATTGGAACTTATACAACTCGTGAGATGTCTTATATGTTGCGCGTAAGCGTGTACATCACGCTTACCCTGTTTGAGCTTCAAGAGTTCGGTTCGAGCTCTGAACTCAGCTCGAGGCGGTTCAAACGTTTGTCTGAGCCGCGACTTGAAGACTTCCAACGACCCAAACGCATATGGGTCGTGCAACTTGAGCCCCAGTGCCCAAGTCTTGGCACGTCCTGCCAGATTTGACTGGGCAAATGCAACTTGCATATCCCCGTCGTCGATGCGACGCGCCCTTATGGCGTCATCCAATTCGACGAACCATCTCAAGAGGGAGTCCTCTTCGACTCCCTATACTTGGAGATGTCAATCTTCAAGGTCTCGGGTCGACGCGAGTGCATCGACCCGCCAGCAGCAGCCTGCTGCTGTCTCAACAGTTCAAACTGTTGAGCACCCTGTTCTCTCAACAACTCTGCTTGTTGAGAACCTTGTTGGTGAAGCAAGGCTACTTTCTCGCGTTCAGCGTCAAGTTCATTTTGAATGAACTTGGCGATAGTAGCATGTTGGGCATCTCTATTGAGAGCCTCTAGCATGACGCTAACAGCATGGATGCCCATGGTTGAACCCTTCCGTTCAACCGCATCCCATTCGACATCGCTCAAATGGGAGTAGCCGTCACGCGTAGCGTGAAAGCTTTGGTCATCTTCATCATCCAACATATTCATGTTAGATGTGAACGTGGTCCTTGGACGGACTACGAAGTGCTACCAGGTGTAACGGGGCACCCTGAAGCTTGTACTGGTGACAGTACGATCTACTTATTCTAATGACAGAATAAGGCGGTGCCTCGTAACTTTACGTACACTCGTACGTGCAGAGGAAGACGGTAAGAAGAAGCGAGTACTTGGTTAAAGTAAAAAGTAGAACTGTATTTATAATAGTTAGTGTCTGCAATAAATCACTATTTATCTTCATTTAACAATGTCTAAATACAAATGTGTAAATCGACTATCTGCTCACCACTCATTGCGTGCGTCTGTCGTGGCGCGTCTTCGTTGGTTGATATAATGGCCTGTATCAACCAATTAGGAACTACTCGTAAGTGCTACAGAATATTTGTCCTTATGACAATATTCTGAGAATTTGCCTCTTATAGTTATATTCTATTAACAATTTCTTATAAATTGTTATGTAACGATTCACCCCGTTACAGCTAGAGCCTTATATTTCGTTTGGTGTCCAGGTCGGTCCATGATGACAAGTTACAAGGTAACAACCTGAATGATGAGACAAGTCGAGTGATGTTTGTGGTGACTTCAGTCTGGTCGGAGAAGGTGTAATGGGATCACTCTGGCCTTCGGCTAAATTGATTGAAGACCTCCCATTTTTGATATGAAAGACAAGTGTGGCCCTAGATTTTATTTCAACAGAGAATAACTTTTAGTCGGTATTCTTCAAGTTGCGGTACTTACCGTGGAAGTACTACATACCGTCATCATTTGATGACTGAGTGATGTGCCAACCAAATTTCGTTCGAATACTAACATTTGCATCAGTTCTATTTCAGGCAAAAAAAAAAAAAAAAAAAAAAGGGTATTTAAAGTAGGTTTTTCTTGATATAAAATCTAAGCAAATTCAGTTTTCATTTTGAGCAGAAGTTCATAGACTTCGACCCCCCTCTTTCGCATGTTGCGCTTGAAAGTTCCTTAGAACTGTCGTAATTTATATATTCCTTAGACCCTTGTATTTCCCTTTGCACATTGTGCGTGTAGTTCTTTAGAACTACAGTAGCTTGAGCTAATAGCTCATACAGTCCGCGCTAGTTCCGTAGAATTAACCGACTCGTTAACTCAATATTCAAGTTCCTTAGAACTAATTAGCTGTCAGTCGTAAGCCTCTGTCTAAACGCGTAAAGTCTTCCTCTGACTATAGAGCTGTGGTAGCTCCGCTACAAGTAGTGTAACGTGGATAATATGACGAAAGCTGCATTACACGTGCTGGGTACGGATAATAAATTGGGTTGATGCGAGACGTCCCTGTACCTCGCAATTGTCAGAGTATGATGCAATCACACCAGATGAAAAAAGTATTAGCTAATAAAATTAGTATGTGTGCACTCAACGACATGAAGTAATTATGATACACCTGCAAGGGAAGTGCAAACGTAAGCCTATCCAGTGGAAAGTTGTGGGTGCATGCTGTGAGGAGACTCACGGCGCTGATGAAATTTAAGTTAAAACTCGCCTTTTGGCACTAGGCAATCAATCCGATGCCGAAAATTGACTTCGAAAACATATTTGCCTCTCGCAGATAGTGTGTCATCTTTTTACATACTGCTGGAACTTACATCATAACACGGATGTCAAGGGTAAAAAGATGATGTCAGTATGGCTGGTCTTTACACATGGGATGTCTCATTGCAACACTTAAAAATATTGACAGGGATATCAAGGTCATCAGCAACATGCGTGTTGTAGCAATTGCCACAATGAAACAAATTAACCTGGGAAGCATTGGAGTACGAATGCTTGGGTAGGCCAACGTAAATTAAGGGTTACTAACTGAATCTTGTATGTACAACCAACTCGACGGGGGGGTGGTCGGTACTTATATACTCGTATAGGTGCACGACATATTAGTCGCAACAAACAACGGTCAATGCAAAGAGCATCTAAATGATAACCTGAGCAATTCATATGGTACAATAGATTTAGTGTTTTTGCCAAATATATCAGGATTTGGACTGAACAGACCAAGTAGCACATAGCAATTTAGCAGATTTAATATTCAAGGTGTAACGGGGTGAATCGTTACATAACAATTTATAAGAAATTGTTAATAGAATATAACTATAAGAGTTATATTCTCAGAATATTGTCATAAGGACAATATTCTGTAGCACTTCCAAGTAGTTCCTAATTGGTTGATATAGGCCATTATATCAACCAACGAAGACGCGCCACGACAGACGCACGCAATGAGTGGTGAGCAGATAGTCGATTTACACATTTGTATTTAGACATTGTTAAATGAAGATAAATAGTGATTTATTGCAGACATTAACTATTATAAATACAGTTCTACTTTTTACTTTAACCAAGTACTCGCTTCTTCTTACCGTCTTCCTCTGCACGTACGAGTGTACGTGAAGTTACGAGGCACCGCCTTATTCTGTTATCAGAATAAGTAGCTTGTACTGTCACCAGTACAAGCTTCAGGGTGCCCCGTTACACCTGGTAGCACTTCGTAGTCCGTCCAAGGACCACGTTCACATCCAACATGAATATGTTGGATGATGAAGATGACCAAAGCTTTCACGCTACGCGTGACGGCTACTCCCATTTGAGCGATGTCGAATGGGATGCGGTTGAACGGAAGGGTTCAACCATGGGCATCCATGCTGTTAGCGTCATGCTAGAGGCTCTCAATAGAGATGCCCAACATGCTACTATCGCCAAGTTCATTCAAAATGAACTTGACGCTGAACGCGAGAAAGTAGCCTTGCTTCACCAACAAGGTTCTCAACAAGCAGAGTTGTTGAGAGAACAGGGTGCTCAACAGTTTGAACTGTTGAGACAGCAGCAGGCTGCTGCTGGCGGGTCGATGCACTCGCGTCGGCCCGAGACTTTGAAGATTGACATCTCAAAGTATAGGGGGTCGAAGAAGACTCCCTCTTGAGATGGTTCGTCGAATTGGATGACGCCATAAGGGCGCGTCGCATCGACGACGGGGATATGCAAGTTGCATTTGCCCAGTCAAATCTGGCAGGACGTGCCAAGACTTGGGCACTGGGGCTCAAGCTGCACGACCCATACGCGTTTGGGTCGTTGGAAGTCTTCAAGTCGCGGCTCAGACAAACGTTTGAACCGCCTAGAGCTGAGTTCAGAGCTCGAACCGAACTCTTGAAGCTCAAGCAGGGTAAGCGTGATGTGCACGCTTACGCTCAACATATACGACATCTCACGAGTTGTATAAGTTCCAATCCGGTGGATGAACACACGTTGGTTTCGGTGTTCATGCAGGGTCTTGCGGATGGTCCCGTCAAGACTCACCTGTTCCGGCTTGAACTAGATTCACTAGAACAAGCCATTTCCATTGCGGAGCAGGAAGACTTCAGTCTGAGACAGGCTCGCGCCAGCTCGACATCATATCGTCAACCGAGACGATATGACAACGGAGGTCCAGAGCCGATGGAACTCTGTTATGTAGAGAGCGAGAAGGCTCGCTCTACAGGCTACAAGAAGTTGCAGAGATGCAACAGATGTCAAAAGACAGGACACTATGCTTACGAGTGTAGTGCCCCTCGTCCAGTGTCTCGCGACACTGGGCGTAGTGACCGTCCACCCATGAGAAAGGGGCAGGGACGCGGGTCCGCTGTTGGTGCAAAGACGCAACAACGGGATGGACCGTAAAAAAACGGACAGGATCAGTAGGTGCGGAGCACACTACTGGTCCAGCAACGTCAAGAGAATTTGTAGGCCTCTTGATGAAGGTTGCTCCCAACACACAGACATTGTGCGTTGCTGCTCTAGGTAATGAGATCTCACTCATTACCTTGAAACTCGAAGTGACGAATAAGTTGTCCCTTCGAGCTCTAGTCGATTGTGGGGCGTCCAACAATTATGTGCGACGCCAATCGCTAGAAGATGGTCACTTTAAATTCAGTGAATGTGACACACCTCCTACGAGGATGACGGTACGTCTTGCGACAGGCGCATCCGTAACCGTCATGAAGCGTATAGTGAAGATTCACTATACGCTAGAAGATACCCAATACGACGATGACTTTATCGTATTGGATTTGGATGACAAATTTGATGTCATCCTTGGAATACCGTGGCTCAGAAGGTACGAACCACGGGTAAACTGGCAACATCGGACAGTAACGATGCCTGCCGCTTGTTCATCAGATGGCCATGTGATGAACGTTTTGGAGAGTCCACAAGCGTGTGGATGTACTACGAGTGAGTGCGATGGCCTCACTTGTGGTACGGTCGTTAGTACGACTGCACAAAACCTTAGTGTACCAAACGGTTACACTTCGGAGCAAAGTTCCGGCGGCTGTGAGGAAACACAGGCTGCGCCGAAGGTCCACCACTCGAATAAGTCGGGTGGACTGGGACAAAGATGTATCCCTAGAGGGGAACATCTAGAAGAGAAACAATCGATCGCTCAGGTTAAGCGAAACGATAATCCTAGATCGACTGGAGAGTCTTTCGTAGAGGATCTCGCTGTGGTTGCGCAACCCCAGCTAGAGGAAGTAAAGGGAATAAGTCCCAAGATTACAAATACGGCGGAAATAAGTTCCCCGAAACCCGCGGGAATAAGTCCCCGGGAAGACGAAGGAATAAGTCCTTCGAAGCCTGAGGGAATAAGTCCCCAGGAAATGACAGAGACATTGAATGTCATAGTCAATAACGGATCATGTGTAGGCGCTTATACACTTGATCTGATTGCGCCTCCGAAGTTAACTTCGGAGATCACTCAGTTGCCAACGCTCGAACATAAAAGATTCTTGCGTGATCTGCGTAGTGGCAAAGTCAAGCAGATCTGCGTATTCGTCGCTGACGACGAGTGTGTAGCCGACATAAGGTCGGCAACAATGTTTACTGAGAACGAGAGAGTTCTCAGTAGTTCATCTATGGACGAGAGTGTCCTAGATGAAAAGACACGAATTGAGCGATATGAGTCCCAATCATGGGAATCGCTCAAGGAAAATCCTCTC